TTGCATTATTTAACAATAGTCCAGTGTCCATAAACATGTTCCAACCCTTCTCCCGTTCAGATAACCAGTCTGTCGGGGGCTTCTACTCTTCAAACCTGAAGGGGTTCCCTTCTTGAACATTCCAAGGTCCTGGCCATTCCAGCGGGGTAACAGGGTTCAATAATAATCCTTCCCCCCCCCTCCAGTAAGGGGATGTTGTCCTCATCCCAAAAGTCAATCCAGTCACCGTCCCGAGTGGGGTCCCCCATCTGCCATGGTCGTCCCCGGACTCCATCCTCTGCATCTCCCACATCCTCCATTCTATCCTCTCTATTCTTTCCCTCCCCACCTTCTCCTTCTCCTCCCTCAATTTCTTATGCCACTCTCTGGTCTCTCTTTCTCCCCAATAAGAGGGTTTGGAGTTCAGCTCTCTTCTCCTTCTCCTTCGATCATCCGCTTCCTCCTTGGGGACTCTTAACTTCACTTTGCCAGTCCAACGATCCTCAATCCAGATTCATTCCCAGCCTGCTAGGAGTCCTCCCTTTCCCCCTTTTATTATCCACCAACCCCGCCTCCACCACTTCCCACACTTTCCCCCCCCCTTCCCACCACACTGGTCCCGGGCTGTTCAACCATCAACTCTTTCAAACTCTCCTCTATCTTCCTAGGGTCTGGCTTGGGTTGTTTCATCTTCTTATGCAGGGGAATAGGTGGAGCCTGACTCTCCTTATGGACTGAAGGAGGGAGGGACAACACTCCTGTGAGAGGCACCTTGTCCTCACCTCCTGTCTCACATACCCCCCATCTGAGAGGGCCGTCCACTCCACCTCACTACTCGCCCAGGGTCCCTGCCAAGAGAAATAATCCACATTAGTGTGCTCCTTCCCTTTCCTGTACTATACCATGGAAGCGAAGGATTGTAGTGCGAGATACCAATGGGTTAAGCAAGGGTTGGTGTCTTTCATCTGGACCAACCACTGGAGAGGAGCGTGGTCAGTAAGTAGAGTAAAGGGCGCACCTAGCAGATAATATCTGAGGGCATGGGTTGCCCAACGGATGGCTAGAGTTTCCTTTTCTATGACAGTGTATTTTCTTTCTCTAGGGGTCGACTTGCGACTTAGGTAAAGGACTGAGTATTCCACTCCATTCTGAATTTGGGATAATACAGCCCCTAAACCCATGTCCGAGGCATCGGCAAATAATACAAAGGGCAAATGGAAATCTGGGGCAGACCTTGTAGGTAACTCACACAAAATTGATTTAAAGGTCTGGAAAGCCTCTTCTTGGGGTCCTTCCCATTTCACCCATCTGGGAGCCCTTTTTCGTGTGAGGTCTGTCAAAGGGGCGGCTAGGGTGGAGAACTGAGACACAAACTGACGATAATACCCTATCAAGCCCAAGAACTGTTGTACCTCTCTTTTGGTCTGGGGACTGTGCTATTGGGTTATCTTAGTGACTTTTTCTTCCTGGGGTTGTATTTCACCGTTCCCTACTTTGAACCCCAGATACTCTACCTTGGGGAGGGCTATTTTACTTTTTTATTTTGGGTTGGCTGTCAGCCCAGCCTTTCTCAGCTCTGTCAACACGCGGTGTAAATGTGTTAGGTGGTCCTTCCATGATGAACTATATATGATGATGTTGTCAATATATGCTGAGGTGCTGTCTTGCACTGGGGTCAGCACATTGTCCATGAGGCGTTGGAATGTCACTGCTGCCCCGTGCAGCCCAAATGGCATTTTTGAGAATTGGAAAAGGCACCCTGTGTGGAAAAAGCCGTTTTCTCCCTCTCCTGGACCCTTAAAGGAATCTGCCAGTAACCCTTAATCAGGTCGATTAATGAGAGGTAGATAGCACATGCTAGCTTGTCCAACAGGTCCCCTACTTTCAGCATCAGGTAAGTGTTGAATTTAGAAACCATGTTTAGCTTTCGGTAGTCTATGCAGAACATTACTGACCCGCCAGATTTAGGCACAACCACAGGGTAACTGCGCCATGGCCCCTTACCGGTTCAATGACCCCCAGCCTCAACATTTCCTGCACCTCTCCTTCAATCACATGGGCTAGTTGTCAGGGCCATGTCCTCCCATTCGTCCTTACTTCTGCCCCAGGAAGTGTTTCAATGCTATGTTCCACTTCGTGAGTACAACCAGGAATTCCGAAGAACATATCAGGGAATTCTTTCTCTAATTCCTTGATGTGATTCCGTTGCTCTTTATCTAACCTGTCATCTGTTACCACCAAAGAGTTCGTCTCAGGTTTTCTCAGGATGGCTTCAGGCCCTAGCTCCGTGTCCTCACAGTCTCCAAACAGTGCTTCCCTATCCACCCATAACTTAAGCAAATTCACCTGTAATACTTGTAACTTCTTTTTCTTATCTTCCATGTGCGCCTCATAGTCAATGGCACTTTTCTTGCAAGTTACCTTGTACGGCCCTTGCCATCTGGCAAACAATTTTGCTGATTCAGTGGGGAGTAGTACCAAGACCCTTTGACCTGGCTGGAACCCCCAGAGTTTTACCCTGTGATCATATTTTTCTGGTACCCTTGAGACCGTCCTAATGCCTCTTTAGCTAGCTTCCAGGCCGTATCTAGACTTTCCCTCATGTTCATTATCTGTTTAAACACTGGTTTTGAATGGTCAGTTCCTTCTTCCCATTTCCCCCCCAATAGATCTAGAACCCCCTCGGGGATTTCTTCCATAAAGCAATTCAAATGAGGAGAACCCCGTGGATGACTGGGGGACTTCCCTTACTGCGAACATCAAGGGGGCTAGATAGGAATGCTTTTGTTTTGGCTTCTCCTATATCAACTTTCACAGCATCCCCTTTAAAGTCTGATTAAACCTTTCTTCCAGGCCATAGGCCTGGGGATGGTAAATTGAGGTCTTCATAGGCTTTACCCCCAACAACTCCCACATTTGCTTAAACGTAGCACTCATAAAATTTGTCCCCTGGTCTGTTAACACTTCTCTAGGAAACCCCATCCTTAAGAACACCCCGATCAGTTCCCTGGCCAGTACCTTGGTGGATGCTGTCCTTAAAGGTATGGCCTCCGGGTACCTGGTGGTGTAATCAATAATCACCAGCACATACAGATGTCCTCTCGCAGACTTGATCAACAGTCCCACAATGTCTAGGGCAGTCCTATCAAAAGGGCAGTCAACCAGGGGCATGGGTATCAATTCTCCTCTGGGTCAGGGTTTAGACTGAGTCACCTGGCATTTTGGACATGAGCGGCAATAGCTTTCAATGTCTTTGCTCATGTGTGGCCAAAAGAACCTTTGCTGCACTCGTGCCAATGTCTTTTGCACACCCAGGTGTCCCGCGACTGGTACGTCATGGGCCAGTTTCAGAATTTTCCATCTGAGTCTCTCTGGCACCACCAACTGGGTCTCTTCCAACCCGGGTGATCTCCTACACCTACCTTAGCTGATATGGCATATATGTCCATCCAGGCGCTCTCCTCAGCTGGGCAAGATTTTTTTATGTGGCCGTACTGGCCACACCCGTAACACGCTATCATTCTTTCTTTGAGTGTGTTCCACAGGGCTGGTTGTTTCGTCTGCCCCGGCTCTGTGGTAATCATGGGTCTTGGCACCCGGTTCCCTGTGGGGTTCACGAACTCAATGTGCTCGGGTCGGGCCTTTCTGGTGTTCATCATGGTCAGGCCTCATGTGCTCGTTCCTGCTGCTTCAGCCATCTTTTCTCTGATTCTAGGTCTTTCCACCTGCGTCACAGTTTTGTTCCCCCAGGGCTCTTCTGCTCCTATATAATCCTCTAGTAACATCACAGCGCCCTCTAGGTCAGCAGGTTTGTTTTTCATTAGCCAATTCCTGGGTCCTGCCCCTAAGGCTGATATGAGTTGTTCCATTATTATGATCTCTAGCACTTGCTTGGCCTTTCGGCTTCACCCATCTTGTGGCGTTGACTCGAATCTTTTCTGCTACGGTACGTGGGTGTAGTCCCAGTCATGATCTCAGGTCCCAGAATCTCCTTTGGTACGCTTCTTCATTTAAGCTTAACGTGTTGAGGGAGACCCGTTGGGTACAGTGTGAGAATCAACACCCAGTGTTCCACTGGCCACTGGGCTGTTGTGGCGACCTGTTTGAAGGTGTTGAGAAATGTTTTGGGGTTGTTGTGCAGTCCCATTTTTGTATTTTTATTGGTGGGTGGGTTGCAATCAATGTTTTCTGTGGAGTTGCGGCTGGCATAGTGGAATTGTTTAGTTGTGTTTTGGATAGCTGGGTTATCAGCAAGTGTTTTTGGTCTGCTGTTTCATCAACGTTTCCTGTCCTTCTGTCACTCTGCGGAGCCATTCATCTGTTGAGCCTTCTGTTGTCGAAGGCCCCACGTTGGGCGCCAATATGTGAGGGTTCGATGTTCCTCTCTGTGTTAACTCCAGAAGGGACAATATTCAGAAACAAATGGGAGGCTGTTTCAGTCTTCCAATCTAAGACATTCTATTGCTGACTTAAAAGTGGTCATTATTGAATAGAGTAGTGGTTCCCAAACTTGGGCCCCCAAATGTTCTTGGACTAAGCCTTCCCCAAAGCCTTCGCTGCTAGCTGTGCTGGCCAGGATTTCTGGGAGTTGTAGTCCAAGAATATTTGGGAACCCTGGAGTGGGAACCACTGGATTAGAGGAACTCCAGAGGGAGATTCCAGCCTGAAGCTGCAAAGTTAAAATCAAGGGATGCCATTTTCTCATCTCCACCCTGAATTGTGATAAGGTTTATATCCCACTATTGGTGTAAACTAACTTAGGAATCCTATAATGACTGTTATCATCAGTAACTAACATTCTGAATGGTTCTTGTGTTTATTTAACATAATTTGTTAGAAATGTTTTTTTAACTTTTAATTTCCATCTGACCTCATCTTTCCCCTCTCTTAACTTGTTTTTATGTATTGAGAATAGCACTTCATTCATTGATGAGGTGGGTGCTACAGTCACGAAAGCTTATGCTATAATAAATGTGTTAACACTTGAAGTATCGAATTCATTATTGTTTTTTATTACATAGACATCTTGAGCCTTACTAGCATGGAAGATTTACCCTGGCTTTCCTCATGAAACAAGACAAGCCAAACAGTGGATTTTGAAGATTGAAAGAAAGATATTTTGCTATTTCTGTACATCAAATCGTGCTAAAATGGTTTGAAGGTAAGAACTGCCGTCCTGAACCGGTGAAGGCATCATTAGTTTGAGTCTTAATTTAAAAATGAACAGATATGTAGTGGTCATAATTATAACATATTCACCCATTTTAACAGGTGGTTAATTATTTCTTTCCACATTATAATCCTGGTAGTCTCCACTGTTTCTTCCAGATTCACAGATGTTCTGAAAAAATTTTTCATTGGTTTTAATCTGGGAGGGGTGGAATGATAGCCAGAGTGGATACATATCTGATGTAGATGTTTTAAGCATCTCTACAAAAATGCAAAGTTTATACATAATTCACCACATCTGAGGTGTAGTCACCTAGTCCTGATGTAGGTCAACTGAAGGATTGAAGAAAATTTCTCCAGAAAATTTCTGAGAGGTTTGAAAATATTTCTCAAAACAAAATAGAACTTGAGCATCACGTATACTAATTAAAATAACACACAACTTCCTCATCACATTGGAGGAGAAAAAAAGTGAATGGATAAATTCATCCCTATTCTTTCAATTTCTTCTTAACATGCCATTTTCCTGCATTTACCTTTGGATGTCTCTAATTGATGGTTATGAATATCTCTATTTAAAAATCGGTTGTGTGTTGATTAATTGTGCTATCACTATGACAACAGAACAAAACATAAATTTAAAACTATGGAAAGACTAATGGTTTGCACATCACATATTAATATACAAATCCTATCTTCTTTGGCTTAGACATTATGCACATAAATAGTGTTATATGTGTAGGTCTTTCTGTTTTAGTGATATGCTAGCACACAGTACAGAAGCAGATGCCACAAGCTCTTCCACCCTTTCTCCAGGAAGCAATCCTGTCTTTGGTCTCACATGCCTACATTTTACAGTATAGAAGCCTCCTAGGCCATTGAACCTTAGAGAGAACAAATACATCCTTATTGTCTGGAATCGTCAGGCCAGACATAGTGCCAGTTGGGAGAAGTCAAAGGAATGCGGGGAGGATGGCTGTGATGGCAGAGGAAAGTAGCAAACGCTTCCTAGGCTGACACAGAGTGGTGGTGGGGGAATGCATGACAAATCAACAGGGACATTAGCCTACACCCTGCAATGAACCCATCTGTGCCTCTTCAGGGATGTGGTGGCACTGTGGGTTAACCTGCAGAAGCCTCTGTGCTGCAAGGCCACAAGACCAGCAGTCATAAGATCGAATCCACGCGACGGAGTGAGCTCCCGTCACTTGTCCCAGCTCCTACCAACCTAGCAGTTTGAAAGCATGTAAAATTGTGAGTAGATTAAAATAGGTACCACTTCGGTGGGAAGGTAATGGTGTTCCGTGTCTAGTCATGCTGGCCACATGACCACGGAAACTGTCTTCAGATAAATTATGGCTTGGAAATGGGGATGCGCACCATGCCCTAGAGTCAGACATGACTGGACTAAATGTCAAGGGGAACCTTTACGCCTCTTTGGTTGCTTCTCCCTCTTACATGCTATGACTTGTTTGCTCAAGATCTTGAAATGAATTATCAAAGAGCTACGCGGATAACATATTTGGGTCCATGTTTCTTGTTGGAGTGTCTTTTCCCTATGTCACCTACCTGCACTACTGTATTAGGTCCGCCAAGGCAACACCCCTCCAGGTGGCCACCTCCAAGGAGGCCAGGAAATCATCTGCCAGGGCCTTCTTTGTGGTGGCACCAACACTCTGGAACCAACTCCAGGTGGAACTCTGCCTGTCTCACTCCCTCCGTTTAAAAAAGGTGCCTGAAAACTCTTTTCAGACAGGCCTTTCTCAGCTATCCATCCGAATAAGAAGCTAACTTCAGCCTCGTTTTCAGAGAGGCCTTTCTCAGCTATCCACCTTGATTTGCCAATAGCCTCATGGGCCTGATTGTAAGTTCTAATCTATGCATCTTGTGTTTTTGTTATGTATTTTTAAACTTGATGGTTGTTTATCTTGTTGTAAACTGCCCAGAATAGCGAATAAGAAGCTAACTTCAGCCTCGTTTTCAGAGAGGCCTTTCTCAGCTATCCACCTTGATTTGCCAATAGCCTCATGGGCCTGATTGTAAGTTCTAATCTATGCATCTTGTGTTTTTGTTATGTATTTTTAAACTTGATGGTTGTTTATCTTGCTGTAAACTGCCCAGAATAGTGTCTTGCACTACAATGCGAAAAGTGTCAGCTGGCAGCGTTAAGAACCGCTGGGATTAAGATATCCAATTGTTACATCTCGTCCTGGGCTGTGCCATTTCAGCCAGCAAGCAGAACGGGGCACGTTTTGAGTTCCTCTGTGTAGACAAAAGCTCCCTAGCATGGGGCGGGGGGAGAACAAACGCATGACTATGCGATTTTTTAAAAGTAGGAGAGTGTGCACACGTGCTACCATTTTCATATACCCTCATGCTCCGCGGTCTCAGGCGCTACATGGCCCTAAAGCTTCACCCCTTGAGCTTAGTGAAGGTACCAAGCGACAGGTTGATGCGAGCAGACAGCTAACACGGGGGAACGCTACACGCATCATCCCCTTTTCTCCTGAAGTCCTGCCGTCACGAAGGAGCCACATGTGCACCGCGCGAGGGGAAAGAAAGCGCCCGGAGGCCGCGGCCATTTAGCCACTCCCCGCTGGCTTCGTCTCGGCTTGGGTAGGGAACGCCATATCCGGGAAAAGGAGGGGGGAACGAAACCGAGGTAAGGCCGACGAGTTTCGGGGCTGGGTGTTAAACAACAGCTAGGGCGCCTTCCCTTCCCTTTCTGAAACGTCCTTTCTGAGCCCTAGAGACGGACCTGGCCTCTCCCATAGGCCCGCCTCAGGGTCTCCTGCTCCCACGAGCGGTTGGGAAGCGTGGGAGAAAATGGCCACCGCCGCGACTCCTCCTTGGGAACGCTCCCCGAGTCTGAGGGAAGAGGAGGGAGGGAGCGCTCCCCACTGTGGGAAACGCGGAGGACTAACGGCTAGTAACTGTAAACAAGTTAGTGAGCTCTTTCTCTCGTGGGGGTCTGGAGTGTTGTCAGGCGTGCAAAAAACCCAAGTAGACGATCACGCAGCCGAGAAATACGTATGAAAGAGCGTCTCGGGGTGGGTATTGCCCGCTGCTGAGTCATCGTTAGGATTGTCCTGAAGTGCCTCGGAGATGTAACGAAGTGACTTGTTGCTTGCTGCCCTCATTTCCCGTTGTCTGTTTTCTTGCCAATTCCATTCCCGAAGTGCCGAAAGTGAGGAATTGAGAAGCAAACTGCGGGGATGATGTCCCAGGCTGTAAAGCTGGGTTCGAGGGCCAGTTCTCAGGGGATAGATAATAAAAGAGATTTAAATGTAACGCCCAAATAAGCTGTCTGTATCACCCAGTTGTAGAAACGTTTAGATCAGGGATGATGGGTAGCTGTGGCCCTCCAGGTATTTCTGGCCTGCAGTCACCCTCAGAATTGCAGTCCAAAACTATCTGGAGGACTACAGTTCTCAGCCCAGATTTAGAAACTAGAGTAGGTCTTTATGGTTATGTAACACAAATTGGAGCCAAATTATAGGTGTTTGTTTAATTGTTTGAATAGACAATTCAAAGTCCTCTATGATACAGCCATGTTCAGAAGTGCAGGGCAGTCATAAAAAGGAGTTGAACCCTTCTGGTTTCTTGAAGAAAATGCAGCCTTCACATGCTTACCTCCCTAAGTTGCATTCTGATCTTTCTGTGCTGTACCCCTTCCTCTGTTTCTAGACTTCTCAAATATTGGTGTGAAATGCTGCTTTTAACTTTAAAACCCTCTTAGTAGAGACATTGACCTACATGTTTTTTTCCACTCTAAAAACTTCTAACTTACTACCAGCTTCTACACCATGGTGATTTGGGGTTCAGCTTCAAGTCTAACATACTCAAAAAGAACATTAAATTATAGTTTCCTCCCCAGTCTGTCATTTACTGAGTAGTGCACGGAAGTGTCTGTTCTATGCCAGTGATTACAAGCAGACAGCAAAGCAGTCCACTTTGTTCTGATCCAAATGAAACATATGTCAAAGATAAACATAATTTAGAATTAGTGGAGAAATAACAATAGTCCCCTGAGTTCACAAATTAAAATAAAAAAAGTTTGTTTACCCTGCCTTTTTAAAAAGGACTCAAGGCAGCTTACATAATTAAAAGAGTGTATTTAATGCTAAAACAATAAGTATACAAATACTAAAAAGGATCAAGCAGATACCATTCTAAGAAATAATCAAAAGCAATACCAAAAACACATTCAAAGCAGCAAGGTACAACTGTCCATTTAAAAACTTCACTCAGGCAGCCAGTCTCTTAGTGAAAGTTTGTGGAAGAACAGCAAAGATGGGGCCAGTTTGGCCTTCTGTGGGAGGGAGTCTGAAAGCAGCCCTCTCCTGTGTCTGTATTAAACATACCTGTGAAAGTGGTGGGACTAAGAGAAAGGCCTCTCTTGGTTATCTTAATACATGAGTAGGTTCATAATGGGAGATGTGGTCACTGAGATAGCTTGGGCCCAAACTGAGATAGTTTAGGGCTTTATAGGTAAGAGAATCTTCTGAATTGCAAGGAATAAGGATAAGGCCCAAACTTTGGTTTAAGAAGAGCAGACATTGTCAGCAGAATCATCCAGATGGTTCTTGCTGAAGTTGACAGAATTATTTAAGAAAAGAGGGAGTTGTTGAGAAGTAAAAGATGATTTTTTTCAAATGGTATTTTTAGATATTTGATGCTGATCCAATCCAATGAAGAAAAAGGAAGAACTACAGAATGATGAAGGCGCAAATAAGTCTTCACCAACTTTATATAAAGTGTAGTCTTATATGTATCAAGGGGGGCCTTTGTTACAGAGTCCTGGAGGATCTGTCACATTGGGTCTCTGTCTTTCTACTTGCAAAAAGCTGTTTAGATATTACTTCTAATAAAGCTCTCTGTGCCAGGATAACTTGTCTAAGTGTGTTATTTCTTACTGACATAGGTTAGGACCAGCACTTTGAATTGTGCCCATTAATGGATTGGCAGCCAGTGGAGCTGCTGTAATGGATG